TTACAAAAAATCCTCAAGCAACAGTACATGCTGGCAAGGATGTGGAGAAAGGGGAATACTCTTCCGTTGTTCATAGGATTGCAAGCTTGTACAACCATTCTTGAAATCAATTTGATGGTCTTTCAGAAAATTGGAAATAGTTTTACATGAAGACCCAGCTATACAATTCTGGGCACATTCCCAAATGATTTTGACCATACTACAAGTACATGTTCTCCATTATGCTCATAGCAGCTTTATATGTAATAGCTAGAACCTGGAAGCAACCCAGATGTCCCTCAAGCAAAGAATGGATACAGAAAATGTGGTTTGTTTATACAATGGAACATTATTCAGCTCTTAATAACTAGAACATCCTCAATTTTGCAGGAGAATGGTTGGAAGTAGAAAATATCATCCAAGTGAGATAATTCAGAACCAAAAGAACATGCATGATACATATTCACTGATAAGTAGATAATTGCCAAAAATTACAGAATACCCATGATACACCCTACTGACCCAAAGGAGTTAAACAAGAAGGAAGGCCCAAGTGAGGATGCTTGCATCCCACTCAGAGAGGGGAATAAAATATTCACAGGCAGAGGGAGTGAGGGTGGGAGAAGGGAGGAGGAGGAAAGAGGGTCAGGGTCAGGTATGGGGAGAGTCAGACACGAGGCCCAGAGGTCCAAGGGAATGAATAGAAACATGCAGCTGTCTGTTGTGGGGAATATAGGAATCTCTAGGAAGTTTCAGAAACTTGGAATGAGGGAGGCTCCCAGGAGTCAGTGCAGGTGATATTAGCCAAAATACCCAACAATGGGGATATGGAACCTCAATAGACAACCTCCAGTAGCTATACAGGATCCCCAGTGGTGGGATGTGGACATAAATCCACCTTCAAAACTTTTGACCCAAAATTGGTACTGTCTAAAAGAAACAGAGTGACAAATATGGAATAGGCAAGCATTCATCCCTTACACTATTGCTGATGCTATGTTGTGCTTGCAGATGGGACCCTAGGATAGCTGTCCTCTGAGAGGCCCTACTCAGCAGCTGACTGAGATAGATGCAGATACCCACAGCCAAACATTGGATGGAGATCGATGGCTCCTATGGAAGAGTTAGGGGAAGGAGTGAAGCCCTGATGGGGAAAGCAACCCCACAGGAAGACTAACAGTGTCAACTCACCTGGACCTCTTAGAGCTAACAGAGACTGAACCACCAAGCAAATGGTCCCCAGCACAAATGTTGCAGAAGATTACATTGTCTGGCCTGGGTGGGAGAAGATGCACCTAGTTTTGTAGAGACTTGATGCACTAGGGTAGAGGGATACTGGGGGGCACTGTCTCAGAGGTGAACGAGAGAGAGTGGGGGAGGAACTCTGTGAGTGGGGACAGAGAGAAGGCAGCATTTGGGATGTAAAATAAATAAATAAATAAATAAATAAATAATCCTATACTCTACAAAATTGGAAAATATAAATGAAATGGAAATAATTTTCTTGATAGGTACAATTTACTGTGTTAAATCAATATCAGATTGATATTGATTAAACAATTGATAAAACAATATAAACAGACCTATAACAACTAGTGAAATAGAATCAATCATTAGAAGTGTTCCAATTAACAGAAGCTTAGGGCCGAAATGTTGTGGTAAATAATTTTACCAGGCTTTCAAAGAAGAGCTAATGTCAATACTTCTCAAATTATTCCAAAATTAGTAAATGAAAGGTTATACCCAATTCATTTTATGAGGCCACATAAACTGCATGAAGACTCAACAAAGAAAATTACAGACCAATTTCCTTCAAGAACATTGATGCAATGATACTCAATAAAATACTCACAAACCAAATCCAAGAACACATCAAAAAATCATCTACCATGATCAAGTAGACTTCGTCCCAGAGATTCAGGGATGGTTCAACATATGAAAATCAGCCAGTGACACCAACCACATAAAGAAAATGAAAGGAAAAACCACATGATCATCTCACTAGATGTTGAAAATTCTTTGACAAAATCCAACATCCCTACATAAGAAAAAAATGTAAAAGACATTATGAATAAAAGGGACATACCTAAATATAATAAAGCCATTTACAGTGAGCTTATAGCCAATATTAAATTAATTGGAGAAAAACTCAAAGCAATTTCATTAAAATCAGAAACAAGACAAGGCTGTCCACTCTCTCCATATCTATTCAATATAGCAACTGATGGTTTAGTCAGCGCAATAACACAACTGAAAGAGATCAGGGGGCTATAATTAAGAAATAAAGAAGTTCTAATATTATTATTTACAGAAGAAATGATAGCCTACACAAATGACCCTCAAAGTGTTGCTAGGAAGTTGATGAATAAACACTTTCAGCAAAGTGTCTGGATACAAGATTAACTTTAAAAAAAATTCAGTAGCCCTCTTATATATGAATAACAAATGGAGTGGGAAAAAATCAACAAAACAACATTCGTCACAATAGCTTCAAATAATATAAAATATCTTGGGGTAATTCTAACCAAGCAAGTGAAAGACTTGAATAACAAAAACTCCAAGTCTTTGAAAAAAGGAAACTGAAGAAAATATCAGATGACGAAAAGATTATCTATACTCATGTTTTGGTAGGATTAACATAATAAAAATGGCCATCCTACCAAAAGGAATCTGCAGACTCAATGAAATCCCAATCAAAACTCCAACCCAATTCTTTACAAAACTTGAAGGGACAATTCTCAAGTTCATATGGAAAGACAAAAAAGGCAGGCTAGCCCAAACAATCCTGTACTGTAAAAGAACTTCTGCAGGTGTTACATTCCCTGATTTCAAGTTGTACTATAGAACTCTAGCAATAAAAAAAAATCATATAGTATTGGCATAAAAATAGATATGTTGATCATAGGCTCAGGTTGTCACCACTCCATACCTGCTGGTGTGCTTAAGTGGTCATTTTACAATATAGTATTATTAATATTCTCAAGTCCGGAGAAGCTATACATTCCTGATTGCCTTTCTTGTCCTTCATCAGAGATTGTGGCTTGCCACATGGTTCCAAGCATCCATTTCTCTCCATTATCTTTTCAATACTGGGGTTTCCATGGCAACCAAGGCCATACCTTTACTATGACTTCTTTTGGTCTCTTTTATAGTCCCATGCCTCAGCTTCTTTTCATGATTCTTTCAATCATGAGATTTCTATTGCAACTATAGCTGTACCTTCATCAATGGCCTCTCCTGTTACCATGTCACAACTGCTCCCCATGATTTACCTCAGTCTGGAAACTCTCATGCCACCAAAACTAGTAACACAAAGGATACTGTCACACATTACCAAGATTATCTGTCAGTATGAGATGCAACCAACCCTTTACCACTTGAAACATAAGTCTGTGTGCTGACCGTGGAGACAAACTCTAGATTTCATCTCAGTGTTGCTGGTTTCTCTTTAATCATAGCTAATTTCTCAGTCCCATTTAATCAGCCTCCAATGTCAGAGTAATGCAATATTTTCACATCAGTGTTCCTAGTCTTTTCTTAAACACAAGTGATTCTTTAGCCATTGTTAACCAGGAAACCATAGATTCTTCATTCGAAATATCATATGAATAGTGTTAGTATAGTCTTTAAGAGACTCTCAAAGTTCTCGCTGAAACTTCACAAACCAGGTCTTCCTTCATGTGCATTACTCTCAGCATTGTCTAAGTTCCCACAGCAATCTGTTAAGATCTTAGTGTCTCAAATTTCTAAACAATCCCACAATCCTACAAAAAAAACCAACATGGCTAAGTCTTCAATGTATTATGATGTGATCCTTGTACTGATTTTTTGCTTTAGTTAAATTTCTATTCCTATGACAAAACAATATGATCAAAGGCAACTTGGGGAGGAAAGGGTTTCTTTCAGCTTACAGCTTATAGTCTATATTGAAGGGAAGTGAGTACAGGAACTCAAGGTAGAAACTAAAGTAGAGGCCACGGAGGCACTCTACTTACTGCCTTGATCTTAATGACTTCCCCCGTTTGATTTCTCATACACCTTAGGACCACCTGCTGAAGGTGATACTGAACACAGTCAGCTAGGTCTTCCCTCATCAATCATTCATCAAAAACAAAACAAAACAAAACAAAAACAAAATAAAACAAAAAACCTCCCACAGATTTTGTTATAGCCCAATCTGATAGAAGTATTTTTCTCATTTGCAATTTCCCCTTTCTGGATGATCCTAGCTTGTGTTAGTTTGAAAAATAACAAACAAATGAACAAAAAACCAAACAATAACAACAATAACAAAAAACAGCCAGCACAGGGTGGGATAGATTTTAATAGCAGGCTATAGTTTTCTGAAGTACCTATTAAAAATCACACGTGCACCCATGTGTGTGTGTGTGTGTGTGTGTGTGTTGGATACATTCTGGAAGAGGTGAATTAGACAAAGAATCATGTCCCTTATGAAATTCAATACCTTCCTCACAGTGCCTATAGTGAGTGACAAAGGAGTCTAGAAAGAAGTGATGCTCACAATATCAGGGTTTTAAAGTAATTACTAGATTGAAAACATTATTACTTTTTCTTTTTGAGTTGGGGGAAAAGAAAAAAATTAATACTATCCAGTGAAGTTGTTAGTGTAATTTTAGTTTCCAAACACACCCATTTCTCTCATCCCCACTTGAGACTACAGACAACTCCTTAAACTATACTACCAACCCCTACAATCCAGAGGCAAGCATTTAAGGTTAACAGACATTTAACTACACAATTTCAAAGCTCTTATTCCAACAAGAAATATGAGAGCAAGCAGGGCAGATAGAGAGAGTCATTACCGACAGTTGAATTTATGAGTGCATGGAAGCCAAGGTCAGAGAAAAAGGGAAATGATTGGTAGTTCTCATGGAAACAAGCTGCCATTTACCCATACATTCCTCACTACCCTTATCTCCAGAGATGTGCAGCTCTGTTAGGAAACACAATTTATTTTTGAATCTTTTGTAGCAGAAGTAAAACCATAGCTTGACACTTACATTTCATTTGCTTGAAGATGGACTTGTTAGGCTCAAGCCAGTGCTAGAGAGAAAACAAAAACAAAACAGAGATTGTTGGTATGAATGGAAACTCCTGAAAAAAAAAAACCTATCTGCAGAGACTGATTAGAACTGTACTTCTGTGGGGAGACTGGAATGTTCTAAGTCCAGAGGCTAATTACCTTACATTGGGTTAGTTCTAGCCCTCCAGAACAGCCATTTCTTGCCCAGCACTGAGTCTGAGCTAACATCTGGTGTGTAATAGAAACCTTTTAGAATCTATTAACTTAGCAGACAATTATCTTTCTCCAATCCAAAAGCTAAGAAGGCCATCAGATAACATCTTGGGCCACTAGAAAAGCTGGCCTCACCTCACTTTACCTGACTCTATGGTGTACCCACTGACATATTTTTGAAGAGTTAATGATGTAAAAACCCCAGGATGACAGAGAAACTGGACAGGAAAGCTTGACTGATAACCCCTGTAGATGTTTCTGTTGAGATTAACAGTCCAACCCCCAACCCCACCTTGTTATCTACAACTTTGAAACTGTACCTTGGGATAAGCTTAATTTGACCCAGAGATGTTAGGATATACTCTCCAAACCCTGGCCAAGGATATGCCACTTGGTTGGACACTACTAGAGCTCATAGCCCCTAAATATTCTCAGAAACATAATAAATAGCCCACAGCTATCATCTCCAAGTTCTATATCCTCAACTCCCTCATATAAGACTGCTGCAAAGATGCCTTGAGGGCTTAATATCCATTTCAGCCCAGTGGATGTTGTCCTTCGTTGTTCTAATTGACGTACAGTCAGCTTCTGTTAAGATTGGACTTGCACTCCCATTTCTTCCCCAGTTGGTAAGTCGATTCCAATCTAATACTTTGGGAAACAATGAGGGGTTTCAATGGCTCCTTCCCAAGTTGACTGGTTTGGTTCTCTTAAACTCTCCCTCTTGTCTCAATCTCTTCAGCACTCCATCTCACTATGGGCGAAAATTCCAATGGAACAACTCCTTTAGCCGCCCCCCTATATGAGCAGTTTAAATTCTGATGTTGTAGTAACTTCCTGGTTTGGGCGACCTTATTGATTCAAGGGTTAAAGTCGGGGTTTGGTTCCTATTCTTCCTTTCCACTATTGATCTAATTCTGTTGTCTCTCTCACCTCCAGAGTAGAAGCTTTTTAATCATTTGACCACACTGAATCCATCCCACATCCAAACAACAAGGTAAGGTGCAGGTTCAGCATAGGTGTTCTGGACATACACCATATCATGGCCCATGTGGCTCTCTGGCTTTGCCTTCCAGGTCAGTAGAATTTTGAACCTCAGGGGTGCTTCCAGATTCCCACATTTGTCTTCCAAGTTTTAAAAACTGAATACCCATTCCAGCCCCTAGCCACTCATTTGCAGTCATTTTCTGTCTATAGGTGATAACTTTATTACCAGAAAGAAGCCTCACAGTTATCTTGCTTATGAGCATTATGATGAGGTCCAAGATCTCCATTGTCCCAGACACTTTGGGTTGTCTGAAAACAAACTTCAAGATGCTACTGTACTGAGGTTTGAACCTAATACAACTTGGATAATACTTTTGTGTTTCAGTGTCTCACTGACTCAGATGACTTCATGTGACAGAATGACAAAAGCTGTGTTCTATCTTCTATCTTTGCTTTATTCCATCATTTCCACAGTTTACCCGTGTAAACTTCTAAACCTAATTCTTCAAACTGTTTCTCAGATGCTACTCTGACTAATGGGCCCCTCCCTATCAAAGTAGAGCAGCCACTATGGTCAGATTGTCTTGTGCTGTTGAATCTGAGAAGCTGGCCCTTGTCTATGGGACTGGACTTCCTACTTCAGACTCCAAGCATGTTTTTCTTAGAATGGCCTCCAAATCTCTGTCCTGGGTCAGGCTGGTCTTTTGATTCTGTGACCCAGAAAAGGAAATGAGCCAGCCCTAGAAATAAAGATTCATAAATCCTAACAGGGACAAGATGCTGTCAATGAAGAGCCACTACAATATGCTCTGCTGGGTGTTAACACTTGCCATTTCTTCCTGGGGTCTCTGGACTCATTATACTCTGAAATAAAAGGTCCTCCAACCCCAGTTCTCCTTTGTTGCTTACATGTTTACTTTTACTTCTGACCAATCTAACAATATGTTTGCCAAAGATATTTGTTTTTAGCTTCCTTTCACACGAGGATTGTAGAAAACACAATTGGAACAAACAAAATAATGTTCATATATTGGCTTATTAATATGTGTATTAAATATTATATATATATATACTGTCCACATGTGATTATGGTTTGTTCTTTCACATCATGTCCTTAGCACAAAATTGACTTATAAATACATGTTCATGTACACTACAGTTGCTAACTTGGCTCCACTTCATTTTCTTTTCATAGTAAAACTCAAATCAATAAGAGTAATTATAATAATAATGAAAATGATAATAATAATAACTCAGTACCAAATTAACTTATGAAGATGGTCCTAAATATTTCTATTCCTTTTGTGGTGAGAGTTGTGTTTCCATGTCAAAAACATTTTGAGTTCAGGAAAGTCTCTTTTATGGGCATTTGCCCACACTATATTAGTAAGAAAAAAAGCAGTGAAAATTTACCAAGGTTTAATACCTCACTCTAACCCCTTTTTCCAGTGCAGTGGTTCCTCTTGCTTGTATTCTTGCTGAGGCCACTTAAGTTATGCTGGAATTTGATCTCCTTGATGAAGAATCCTATGGAAAACTAACTCTATTCTAGGAATCTGGGATTAAAACGTTCTTATCTTAGCTCATTCAAACTGCTTGCTTGCTCAAAACCTCTGGGTACAACTGCTAACCGAGATACCAGGATATGGATTTTGCCTTTAAAAGCCCCTTGCTCTAAATGCTCTGGAGTCATTGGGATCCAAACTACTGAGTGTAGTCCAAAATGGCTGGGGAATAAAGACTTTCAACTGTCTACAAACTGTGTCTGAGTGGTCAGTTTTGGTAGACTCCCTATAATACTTTCTGTCTTCATAAACATCTACACTTTGCATTATCTTTATTGGTTTAATGTAAATTCATGCTCAGAAAATTAAACAAAAGCATTGATTGAAACACTAAGTGCCCTTCAAGAATTTTTTCTTATATAAGGAGTCTTATTCAGTTCTCACAATTACTTATTTGCTAATCAGAAATCTGTGACTCGTAATCTGAAAAAAATCATGAGTCTTTTGCCTCATGTTTCCTAGCTAAATCATAATGGAATTCCAGAGAGAGAGGGTCATTAGCACCCTACTGATCAGTATACATAACAAGCAATATTCTCCTTGATGAATATTTCTTGTTTTCTCAGGAACTGAAAAACTGAGTGGCCAAATAGGTAGTTTCCAATCTAATATGTCAGATCTGTAAAGTCTTCTAAAGCAGTAAGCAGATTCGTTCAACTCTTTCAATATTGTGGGATAATTCTTCAAGAGAACACTATCACATAATAAAACATCTGGAAATATAATTCACCTTATCACTTAGCATCTATATAACTTTGTGCAAAAATATTCTCTGCATCTCAGACTCCACAAATCTAAGGTGAAAATCCACCTAACATCAATGTCTTAAAGTTGTTGCCAAGATTTTAAATGTGCATCTCACAGCTGCAGTGGAAAAAAAACTACCAAAGGTTTGCTGCTGTTGCCCTTGTTTTATTATGTATGCATAATTTAGTTGGTAGGCACCATCTTTCAGTGGGCTGCGTGGAAGTGAATAATAAACAGACTTCATTGTGATTAAATCACTTTGGGAGAAATATGCAGATTAATTTAGAATTGTGCTCAGGAGAGAAATAAGAGCAATCAGAGACCTGCCCATATTATTGTTTCATAATGACAACCACTAGTCATTTTGCCAGCCTGAAACGTAAATAACATTTCCAAGTTCTCTTTGCTTAGTATCCTTTGAAGTCCCAGACTCCCCTTTCTGAATTTGAACCCATTGCTCTAAGTCTCTCTTACTCAGGGAATTGACAAATCGTTGCCTTCCATGTACTGTAAAGTTGGTGCTAATACTCAATAAAGGCTCAAAGAGAATGAATGTCATCTGGGATTGGCTATGTATGCCATGGATAGAGAGAGGAAATATTTTAGGAATGCCTTCAAGGTACTTACCATCTGTGCCCTAAATAAATTATTTATTCTAAATGAGCTGGTTTCTTCATTGCTTTAAGAAATACACCTCACAGTTTCTTATCAGTTCCTATTTTCCTTCTTTTCAGGTTCTGTGTATTACACTTGCTTATACAGTGTGACCGATATTTACTTTTGTAGGGCAACTATTCTTTCCCAAAAGGGTGATCAAAAGGTAGAGTGATTTAGGAAAAGTAACCTCGTAATCATCATGTTTCAAAGGATTCTAGGAAATCATGTTTTCAAAGAGAGCTAAGCTCAGTCTGTTAATAGTGTTTAAAACAATAGCTAAGCAATTTCATTATTTTCTAATTCATGCATATAGACAAAGAAGTACATAGCAAGGATTTTTGTTGCAATTTTATATGAAATAATAAAAGATTACAAATAACACCAAAGGCAATCATTAGGCAAATAGATAAATAAGTTGTAGTTTGCTAATATTCTGGATGATTCCAAAAGAGTGTTGATATGAGATAAAATCTTATGTCTAACATATACAAAAATTTTAGAACTGGTGCAGGATGAAAATGCAAACTGCAAAATTTATTCTTTAAATTTGAAAATTTTAAATTTATTTTCTAATCATTTTTTACAGTCCAGATTTTATACCCCTCTCAGTCCACCCTCTGACTGTTCCACATCCCATACCTCCTCTCCTCCCTATCTCCCTGTCTCCAAAAGGATGTCCCCACCTTCACACTCCCACCCCATCAGACCTCTCCATTCCCTGGGGCCTCAAGTCTCTTGAGGGTTAGGTGCATCTTTTCTCACTGAGTCCGGACCCAACGGTCCTCTACCGTGTATGTGTTGGGGGCCTCATATCAGCTGGCGTATGCTGGTGGTTGGTGACTCAGTGTCTG